CAGTAATTTTATTATTAGCTTTTAACATCAGTATTAGCTTTTTAACATTAAAGTGTACATTATCCAAGCAGAATCCCTAAACTATCCATTTTGGCTTTAGTGTTAGAAGAAATTACTGATCTAGTTTTAAGTAAAAGACTGAAGAGATACAATCCCATTACAAAAATAAAGAAAAAACCAAATTCCAAAGTTTTTGGCTTTCTTGTAAGTGTCAGAATTGTGGACCACAGTCACATCCTACAGAATGGTTCAGTTTCAAAAGCAACAGAGTTCTGTGTGATCAACAGGATGCTCTACATTCCCTGTCAATGCAGGGTATGCAGTCTTGTCTGTCAGTTACATGATGCCCAAAGAAGATTTCAAATCCTATTTCATCAAACTGGATACAGTTTAAGGAACTCTGAAGAGCCAAATGCACGCACACAAAAGGAAAAGCCAACTGTCCACGTTGTAAGGAGGTAAATATGAAATACAAAGTGTGGGCAGCAAGTTTGGTGTAATTCTGTCCACTAATATTTTTGCCATGGGTGCGTATCAGCAAACATTACATCAGTGTGGCATTTTGTGCCTGGGATACACAGGTAGTAATCATGGGAGAAAGAGGCAGGAGAAAGATCTTATGTAGAGCAGTGGTTCTGTTCTGTGACTGTGTCTGGAGCAGAACCACTGGTTCTTGGGTTATGTCAAGGCAGCTATCACAGAAAGTGACCATGGCAGTAACAATTCTCTTGTGCATCATTGCTAAGTAACTAGAAGTTGTTCTTCCTCAGGTGTGAATGCATTATCTCTTTAGTTTTCACAGTTCCCAGAAATAAGTGCCCTTCAGATAATAGCTCTGAGAAGAGGTCAGACAGCTGAGAGGGCTTCTCCCCCAAGACCTTGCTTGCAGAGGCAGAAAAAAAATTCCTGACAATGCCTCTTCTCAGAGAATATGAGTGAATTACTGAAAATATCCTTTACATCATAGCTGATGCATTGCTTTTATGAAGCACAGGGGCAACAGATTATTTTGACTCCTTATTTCAACTTAACCTAGTTCCAAATGTCCTTTCATCCTAGCTGACAGCCCATATTTCCATACAACAAGAGATGTGCAGACCACTTGCTGAAATCCCAAAAATTCAAGGACCTCTAGCCATGGAAGGTTCATCCTGAGGCTTTCTATGGTTACAGCTGTGAATTGAGGTCATCACTGGTCTGCATTTTTTTTTTTCTTGTAGCTTCCTGGGATTTTCCTTCTCTCATTCTGATTCTCTGTATTTACAGAGACTAAAACAAGGTGGAGCATGTGGGTGGGACTGAGGCTAGATGAGTTTTGATGGGACTTATTGCAATAACAACCACTGCGGGTAAGACAGGAAAATGTGGGAGAATTGGAAGGGGTAAACTGAAACTGGCTGACTGAAAAAAATGGGTCGAGGGATGGACAGGAAATGAAATTGTGACTTTGAGAGCAAATCAAAGGTTGGAGCTTGTTCAATTAAAAGAGAAATAGCTGGATGAGATCAGGAATGGAGGCTGGGAATGGAGAGGGAATGAAAATGAGGCAGAGATAAGGGGAAGGGATGGAAAAGATAAAGGTCTGAGTCAGAGTTTTCTATGGTGGGATGGAGCAGAAAGCACCAAACCCTGGGGTGGGGGGTAAGCATGAGAGCCTAAGTTCAAGAAGGCTTCTTTTGGAGGCTTAGATGGTGCCTAAAATCCCAAATGTTACTATTTCTCTGGTGGCAGCAAAAATGTCAGCCCTAGATTATAGAGACCTACATTCAAGGTATAAATGTATCATGTATGCGTGAGGTGGGAGTCTAAGCTTACATCACAGACAGAGAAGACTTTGGGAAAGGATTTTACAACCTAAGTATCAGGATTTGTATCCACTTTTGATGCCTTAGGAAATTCCTGTGGTCCTAAGATATCCAAATGACCTGGAGGGACACCTTATTTCAGACAACTGTGTTCTACCTGCACTCAATTCAGTCCCAAGAATCCAGAGAAATGGGACACAGAGAGCCTATGCCTCATTTTCTGCAGACTGTGCAGAAGATAAAGCACAAGCTTACATAAATATAAGCCTTGCATACAGAGAAATAAATGTATGTGTCTACATTTGCATTCTGCACCTGAGTATTTGAATTCCTGCAGTCTGAATGTTTGTGAAACCTGCAGGCATGATGTTTCTCTCAGTCCTCACCAATGTTTGGACATAGAGTTGATACCATCATCCCTTTTCTGTTAAGTTGCCATCCTAATTCAAGTGGGAGGGAATGAATTTGCAACTTCCGGGTGCACAACATGGAAAGAGGTACTCCATGAGGAACTCCTTTGGTCTTCTGTTTGTTCTTTCAAATCCTAGCAAATGAGACATAGCTATATGTCTGGATGTCTGCTAGGCAAACTGTACTGGGGAATGCCAGAATTAAAATTTTCTCCTTTGCTGGACAACCTTTTTTCCTTACCAGTTCAGGTAAGGAAAAATCCTGTGGGGAAGAACAGAGTGCACCATGTGTTTGAAGAAAACAGTGGGATGCAAACATAAGGGACTGAATTCAAGCTGCATCACTAGCCTTAATTCCAGCATTGCCTTACAAGGCAATGGCTTGGATTTCCTGCTTTAATATTGCTTTTTTCCCCTCTTCCAGTCCTACCTCCAAATTCACATTTGGAGTGTCTTCATGAAATTTAATTAGAAAATGCTGTGTGTGAAGCAAGTGGCGCAATACTGATGATGGAGAAACTTGTGGAGAGTGGGAGGCTGGCTGCCATCATTCAACTCTTCTTCCAAAATCCATCTCCAGTTGACCCAGTTGTAAATGGATGTTTGAACTTTCTGGCTGAGGAGTCAAAGGCAGCTTTGGCATGGCACTTGTAAAACAGATTACCCACTTGTTGGATGTAGGAGTTAAAAGACCTTACTCTTGGAGTCCTGGATAGTCGGTCTGGATCCTAGGATGTGGTAGGGTGGACTGGCAGCATGATTAAATGGTTTTCTGAACCAAAGGCAGATAAATAAGTGCTTAAGCAAAGTTCTCTACTTCCTGTGTCATTCTAGTCTTTTGAAGTCTCTTATCTGCCTGTATAGAAGAAAAATCACTTCTGTGGAGAGACATGACATGAAAATAATGCTGACTAAACAGTCAAGTCTGAAGGGATGAAGGAAGTCAAAAGTTATCTGTCAATGAGGAGGTAAGTATCTTTTGGGGTCTGTTTGCATTCCCATTTTCTTTAATCATGGTGTTCCCTGGACCTCAAGAAATGCAAGAGCAGGATGAGGGGGACTAGGCCACTCTTCTATGCAACTCCTTCACCTTAGTCCTTTTTTGTTTACAATTTGTAGAGCTTCTCTCTCTTCTTTTTCCCTCACCAATTGAAGGTGATCTTTTCCAAATGGTCCTTCTTATCCAGAAGCTGGAAGATTTAGACTCATCTATACTGAATATTTAAGCTCAGGTAAGCTTTCTGAGTGGGATTGTCATATATGCCTTAGGACACCTTGGACCTAGAGACTTTCCTCATCTCTGGTGAAGTGACTGGGCTTATTCACCCTGGGTTTCTGGTGTGGCTACAGAGCAGGCATCTCCTTGGGAGACTTAGTCTTCTCACAGTCAAAAAAGAACGAGTCACTTAACAAAGAAGGAGCTGTATTGGGTTTTGATTATATTTCAAGGTTTGTGTTTTCTGTTTTGTGGCTTCTGAGCCTTTTCACTGCACATGGACTATCTCTTCATACTTGTTGTGCCATGTGGGTAAGACAACTGTGTTTTTTACACAAGAAAAATATAATTCTACTTAACACAGAATAAGAAGCAATAGGCACAAATTGAAATACAATCAAATTCCATCTGAGTTCAAGGAGACACTTTTTCTCTGTTAGTCTGGTCAAACACAGGAATAGATTGCCCAAAGATGTTGTAGAGCCTCCATCTGTGGAAATATTCAAAAACTGTCTGGACACAATCCTGGACAACCTGTTTTATCTGACCCTGCTTGGGCAGTAAGGTTGGACAGGAGGATCTCAAGCCCCACTGGTTCTGTGACTCAGGAGATGCAGATTCTAGAAAAAGGTAAACACCTTTTGCATCAGAGCCCTCTCATTCAGCTTGCTTGGAAGCAGAGTGCCACTGTTCAGGTGGCTGAGAGAAGTGATGTTTTCTCTAGTTGCAGCCTACCAATATGGTCCTTCTCATAATTTCTTCTATCAGATCAGGCAGCCACCTTCCCTCTTCTCTGTGTCCTGGGAACATCTACTCCTGGAAAACATAATTCCTGAGAAGATGGCAGGCCATTTTTAACGTGTTTCACTTTTGGAGCAGCATCACCTCTTTGCAGCTTAGCTGCTGTTACATGGTAGTATAAGTTGTTTTCCTGTCAGAGAGGGATTTGTAGCCTGCAGCCTCTTACAACAATAGCAGTGATACTGCTGGTCATTTCCTTTGCTTCCTGCTACTCAGCTATGCTACATCATTCAAGCAGACCTGCAGTACCTGTAGAAAAGGAGGTACAGTATAAGTAGGGCCTGGATATTTTAAAATCAGACAATGGACACTTAAGCATTCATGCAGAAAAATGTTTTATTGTAGTGAAGTTACACAGGAGAAAAATGTCTCCCTGCTTCTGGTTTAAGGCTATGCTGACCCATAAAAGCACATTGTACTTCCAGTCATTTTTACAAGTTTATAAGAACACCTACTATTTTCTTTTTTGTCTTTTTTTTTTTTTTCCAATTAACTATAACTATTTAAAGCTGGAATCCAGAATATTTCCTTGTAGGAGTTTTTGTTTCTTTTTTCTTTCTTGCTTTCTTTCTTGCTTTTCCTTTCTTTGCCTGTCCAGTTTATTTAGTCTAAAAGCACCTCAGGACACATGAGGGTTACTTCATACTTTCCTATGATGACCTCATAGGGCTCCAACCCCAGGCTCAGTGTACAACACTATGCTGCATAGTGGTCAGATCATTCCTGTCACCAGCAAGCAGGAAGATGGAATGGCAGCAGGTACAGGGGGTTTATGGAAGAGTGCTGAAGTGACCTAGATGACAGAATAGCTCTTCCCCCATTAAGGTAACTGCCAACCCACATTTAATGCAAAAAATCAGCAGAGCACTGCATCAGCCTGGCAACATACACATGGAAAATGGTACAGGGTCTGTGACCATACAGAAAACAAGAAGAAGGTGAGACAGGTTCTGGACCTGCCAACCTTGTAATTGTCATTTGAGGAAAACAAACACAACACTGTTTATCATCTGCTAACTACTCTTCCCACACAACAGGTTATGTACAGCATACTAACTTATATTTTTACATAATGATACACAGGTCTTCACCAGCAACAACTCTTGTGGTGAAAGGATGTAACATGTCAAGCTGACTGACACTTCAGAAAAAAAAGTTTATGCAGAGCTAGCTTATTCTTTGTCTCTTGAAAGTAAAATCCTACAAATGATTAGCAAGATGTCTATTTTTACAATATTTGTACAGTGCAAAGAGGAAGGACAGGCTTTTTATACATAGGACTCCTTAGCATACTGGATCTGCTCTACCTCAAAAACTGGCTGGCTGCACCTCCGAGCCACATATTCGAGTTTGTTCTTTTGACAGGACTCAGACATGGCTCTCATCCGGTAGACTCCTGGGGTCACAGGTAAATTTACACGGGAGTTTACTCCTACAGTGATGCTGAAGGTTTCAGTTTCCAGGTCAGAATCCTTTGTTGCAGAAATTCTGGCACTGCGTAGATCCCTCAGATCCATATGTGCTGTGTCCTGTGCACTGTGGCTGCATGGATAAGGCAGCAAAATGTCCTGGTTTGACGCTGCTAATCTCAGAGTCTGAACCGTGAGATTTTGGGAGGGAACTTTAGCAGCCAGGCAGTTTTTAACAGCCTCTTCATAAGAGGGTGGTCTTCTAGGGTTTTTCTGGTCTACCTCTCTGAACACTTCATCAACCGACCTGAGACGGGGCCTTTGCTGATATTCCACAGGCGATTGCTTGTCATCATTACAGCTGCCCTCCTGGACAATTCTACAGCAGAACTGATCTTCTTTCTTTGTGAAACTGTCCCTCTGAAAAAACATGGGTTTTCCAGGCCCCCAACTCTGGGTTTTTATTAGTGTTTTCCTGCGGTTTGCAAAAGAGAATGACATGGAATGCTTTTTGATCTCTCTGCTAGGTGTACTGCCGTCTTCAGTGGCCTTGGTGGAAAAGGACTGAGGCCTATTTAAAAAGGTTTTTTTGGGACTAGAGGGCGAAACTATGGGGGAGCTGGTGAAAACTGAGCCATCAGAGCTCTCCAGGGAGCAACTGGAGGATGTTTTGGGTAGAGACTCAGTTGATAATTGTGAAGGTAAGCCTGCAAGACGTTCCTCCAGTGCCTCCATCCATAGCAGTTTCTGCTGAACTGGAAAATTGTCCTCACTTTTGTTTAGCCTTTGTTTCCTTATTGTGTCATCAAGGCAGTTCTGGAAGGACAGGTCTGACTCTGAGTACCTCCTGTCCATTGTGCTGATGTCATTTCTGAAATTAGTCAGGGAAGGGGCAGAGATATTTGTTGGATATCTTCTGCTCACAGCAGCACTCCTCCCTTTGGCCTGCTCCATTTCAGGGGTACAGGGGCTGCCTTCTGCTTCAGGATCTGGGCTGTCATAGGCAGAGTCATTCTGATGAGCTGCACAGAGTTGTTCTGTGGGGAGAAAGCAGACGTTAGTTTTCACTGACCACCTGAGGATGAAAGAGAACTACACAGAGAGAGTTCAGAAGAGGGCTTCAACAATCTTGAACCCTTTGTATTTCCACATATATATTCACATATCAAATTCAATAATTTGGCCCAGCAGCCCCAGTTGGTGATATCCCCAGCCCCTTCTCATACCTGTGGAGCTGTCTGTGTGCTCTGGTGACTCCTCAGCCAAGGCACAGGCAGGGAAGGCAATGTCCCCCTCAAATATTTCCATGCAGTTGTTTATGAGGAACTCCACCAGCACTGTCACCTGCACACACAAAACAGCCCATTTCAGTCAAGACAGATTGAAAATTCTTTCCCCACCCTGCCAGCTATCTTTGTAGGAAGGACAGCACAGAGCACAGTGGCTTCTGCCAAAATCCTGGCTTGAGATCTAAGGGTGAGTCCCCCACGGGGAATAAGGCCCGATGCTGCAAACAATACAGACAAAACACCATCAGCCACAGCTTTGGCCTCGCTGCCCGAGGGCCCAGGGGTGACAATGGCCACGGGTGCCCCTGGCCCTCCACATGCAAAGGCTGCAGGAGCTGTGCTGTGACTGTGGGGACTGCAGGGCAGCTGCTGCTTTGCTCAGCACCCGCAAGGCCCAGGAGTGCTGCTGTGTTCAGCTGCTGCCATGGCAGTGGGATGGATCCCTATGGATGGCTCTCAATTGCCCCGAGGGAACGGCTGCTCGGTGAGTCCAGCGCACCTTGTCGTTCATCTCCTTCTGCACTTCCAGCGGGAGCGTGCTGTCCGTGCCTGGGCTCAGCAGATTTGGGCCAATGCAGATGGCCAGGTTGCTGGAGTCCATCCTGTTGCTCTCAGCATTTTGGCTGATGTGGTGGAGCAGAGAGAGCAAGAGCTTGAGCAAGACGAGGTTTGGTCTCGGCAGCTTGTCAGCCACCCTGCGGGAACACAAACAAAATGTCACGTTAGTTGATGGTGCAGTGGCCTCTGCTTCTTGATTTGAGCAAGTCTCAATTAAACTTAGAGTGACACCACTTCCTTCAGAAAGGGGCATGTGTGTGCTCTCTGTATCTTTCAGAAATCCCCATCTGCAGCTGAGTGTTGGGTTATTTATAATTATGAGACCTTGAATTACAAGGTCTTGACTGAAAGGCAGCATTGCAGAAGTCCATGTACTGGCATAGATGAGGTGACATCAGGAGATGTCACTTCCCAATGCCTATGGTTGTGCTGTGGGGCTTTCAAAGCACTCCCAGCCAGCCCCCACAGCTACTGTTCCTGAAGAGCAAAACACGGTGGTGGTCTCCATGAGCCCGAGCTCACCCCCAGCAGCTGTGGAGGCCCCGTGTCAGTGCCTGTCCCACAGCACCGTGACTGTGCTAGCTGAGGCACTGCAGCCTCTGCCCTGTTCCTGCATTGGTGGTTTCATAAAGCAATCTGAAGTAACTTCAGGAAGTGCTGCTGCTGGAGCCCTCTAAACCAAGCCCCATGAAGCAATAGCAAGCTGATACAAATGACAGGCTTTTAAGTGAGACTCTTGATTTTGAAAGACACTGTTGGCCTCTACCAGCTGCTCCATTACATTGGGACTGGTTGCAAAATTTCCTGGTTGAAAAACTTACTCTTTCAATTCCTCAATTTTTTCTTGCTTGCTTGGCTTCTCTAGAGCTTGCATCCATTTCTCATAGAGGTCAGCTGATAGGAGTTTGGAGGGAATATTTCGGAGAAAGTCCTGCAAGGCCAAGAGATTTAGATGAAGTTTCGACACTATCCCTGAGCACAGAGAGAGTATTACTGTCACCTGGGCTCTAGCAGGTTGACTTGAGCTACCTGACCATCAGCACTGACAGAGAAGTACAATGCACAAGTGCGCTTGCACTTGTGTAGTAACAGGATCCAGCTTTCCGTTGCTTTTCCTTCACTCAGAAATCTCACTATTGCTCGCTGGGAGGATGCTGAGCACGAGAACAAAGTGAGTTTCCTCAGGAAATCAGCAGCCTAACAAGTAGGACTGACGATCAGGTAGAAAAGGCCAAACTTCCCTAAGCTTGAAGAATTCAGTCTGGCTTAGTTCTGGCTTTGGCCAAGAGTCCCACCTAGGTCAGCTCAGAGCACTGGATTGATCCTGTGCATATTAGCAATGTCCTCCCTCCAGTGTAGCTCAGAATTACTCACCTTCAAAACCACTGCCAGCAGGTGCACAGATTTGCTTTTCAGATCAACATTCCCGCCTTTGTTTAGGTCCTCCTTCAACTCCTTTCGTGCTTTCTCATTGGCAGTTTTTCTGAATATCCCTTCAGTAGAAGGTCCTTTCATATATAATATGGCTAGGAGATCCTGCAGGGAAAAAATCAGACAGGAATGGAAGAACAGTTACATGGATGAAGGAAGTTAGCAGATGAGTATTTAGAAATGGAAGAAAAATTGTCTGGAGGTACACTGTACTGTGGTTAGTTCAGTATCTGGCTCTTGTTCCAAGTACATTACATGGGAAGTAGTCTTGATTTTCCCTTAATCCACCTTCTTTTTGAACTGATGAATTCCACTAACTTCACTGTTGCCATCCTTGCTTACTTTTAGAAGGCAGCAAGGGATGGCTTAAATCTAAGTTCACATCCCCTCTCTCACAAGCCAGGCAAATATTACTCAGCAGAGACAAATGCATGTCTATTGGGAAAGCCAGTTCAGTGGAAGAACTGTTACAAGACCATTTTTATTCAGAAGTTATTGTTTAGGTATTTTTTTGTGACAGTCCATAGCTGAACACTTGTTTTTCATGGAAATACAGAAATCCTTGGAAGTTTGTGCTTCTGGAAGATTTATTTAAATTACTTATTTAAAATCACAGATGATTATATTAAGAAGCAGATCTTTCATTCCTGGTCCTGGATTCTACATTCCAAGTTACTTCCAGTGAAGTCTGGGCAAAACCCTCACACCTGACTCTTTCTACATCTGGGATGGGCCCTGGGCTGTGGGTGTGTGTTGGGAAACACCAGAATCATCTCTTGGATGATGCAGCAGAAGTACTGGGTATCCTGCCTCACACTTAAGTTAGAGGTATCACAGAATCATAGAATGGTTTGGGCTGAAAGGGACCTTAAAGATTGTCTTATTCCAACCCCCTGCCATAGGCAGGGACACCTTTCATTAGACCCAGTTGCTCCAAGTCCCATCCAACCTGGCCTGGAACACTTCTAGGGATGGGGCAGCCACAGTTTCTCTGGTTGACCTCATTACCCTCACAGCAAAGAATTTCTTCCCAATGTCCAATCTAACCCTGCTCTCTGTCAGTTTGAAGCCATTTCCCCCTTGTCCTGACACTTCAGGCCTTTGTAAACAGTTCCACTATAATTGTACCTCCTTACCTGGACTGGCTGGGGCAGTGTGTCATCTTCCCCACAGATATGTGCCAGAGGATGGCCAAACAGAGGGATTTTGCCACCCAAGTCTAGCTGTCCTGAGGAATTTCTTTTGGTAAGGCTTTGTCTCAGAGTAAATGACTGTGATATCACCTTCTTTCTTTTCTTTGTTCCATCTGCTGCAAGTAAAAGGGAAAAAAAGAGATCAATTTAAAAATTAAAAATTAAAAAAAAAAACCAAAACCCAGAGCACTATGTGGTCTTTCATTTGTGCACGGTGCAGGGATGTTGAAACAAACCAAACTGGGGGAAACTGAAAGACAACTAAGTGGTTACTAGGGAAACAACTGCCTAAACTGTAAAACTGTGGCCATACCCCTAAGGCCACCACCTTTCCTGTTTTGGGTTGGGTGCTTTTTACATTCTAGTCGCTGTTTCTTCTTAGAGAGTGGGAACATACAAGGCACAGAACATTTATAGAGATTTTTGATATTGCAGTAGTTTCTCTGATAACTCTGAGGCAGATATACCGCTTCGGCAGCTGGCAATGACAACAATTTTCACTACATGCTCTGGTTGTGCCCCTGCCTTAGGGCAGGAGTAGATGGAGGGGCTCCTAGTTTTTGACCTCTTTCACAGCCTGAAAGGAAAACATGTGGCTCCAACTATGCCAGCTCTGCAGCCAGCTCTAATGACAATGCTCCTAGAGCTGGTGCTTGCCCCCCCGCCAGAGGAACATACTTGCTCCAGAGGATGGGAGCATCAGAGAAAGTGCTCACTGGCTTCACAGTTAGAAATCTCTTAGCATGGGTTTTGCATCTGCTTCATCAAGAGGAGGGCCACGAATTTTAATAGGATAGTTGTATTGGAGTGGGGTGTACCTTTTTTCCCCTTTCACAAACAGTGAGAGAAGGAACCTTTTGTGAAAAAGATTTCTAAAGGATTTGCCTTCTGCAAATTTGCAATAAATGTCATGTTTTCTACTCCAAAATGAAGTTGTCTTACCCAGATGAGAAATTCTCAGGTCCTCTCTTTTTTATTTAGCATAAGCTCTTGGTAGGTAGGGGTTAAAAATTTTGAGAAAGTCACCTAACATTATAGTGTCATTTAAAATATTAGCTTCTGATACTCCTGAAAACTGGTCTGATATGATTGTCTGCTCCAAATCTGACCCTGCCCTGTTAATGGTCTGCTCTGGGTTGTTTACAGCTGCTGAGGTTTTGCATGGTGGGGAAAAACAAGTGCTGGTCCTGCAGCCAAGAGGGTTTATTTACTGTGGTGTGCAACATCTGGTACAGTACTCAGTACTCACTTGAACTGCCACACCTCAAAGGCGATGCTTGAGTGAGAAAGAAACACATTTACTTCCTATTGCTACCAGGGAACGGGAATACAAGACCTCTGGCACTCAGCACTTTGCCAGTGAGCATATAGGAAATAAGCAACTTGCAGATGAGCGGCATTCCAGGGCTTAAGCCCTCTCCTGGATGCAAACTGTGGCTTGCTCTCCAGGAGGGGGAGCAGGCAGTTTCGGGTGGTTTTGCACAAGTGCCGGCTTGCAAACGTTATATAAGAAGGGAGTTCCTCAGTTTGTTTTTGAAACTCACCGTTGGAGAGGCAGAGTCTGTCTTCAGTATCTGCTGGGACTGACAGAGGACATTTCTTGGCATCAGCCTGCAAAAAATATGCTAGGTTACAGAGCTGCCACAGTAGTGAGAGCCACCAGCAAATTGCTGCAGCTCCTCAGAAATCTGGGGAGTCTCTGGGGAATAACCAGACAAGCCCAACACCTGCTAAAGGGGTGCCTCAGCCCAGGACTGACACTGCCTCGCTGCCTGGTAGAGGGGTCTGTGTTAAACTCTGCAGCCAGACACCCCAGTCATGCTGGCAGGTCACAACCCTGAGCTCTGTCAAGCTGCACTTTTGATCCAGAGAAGCCATTGCCAGACACAGCCTCCTTTTTTGTGTCCTCCCCGGCACTGGAAATTTCCTCCCAAACTCCTCTGCGGAGCCTTGATGACTTTGAAGCCTTCAAAATCCCTGAGCAAAACTCCTGGTGAGCCAGGGGAATGCACAGACTGCCCACAGAAATGCCCTGCTCCCTCTGCTCAGTGCGGCACAGAGGTGCCTTTGAAGAGCTCTGCCCGTTCCTGGGTGAGGGTAGGCAGCCAGCAGCTACTGGAGGAGTCACCCCCACTTTGCTAAGGTATCTCACACCAGTACCCACGAAGGATCCAGGAAAATGTAAGGGCTGCTTACCTCTGTCTGGCACTCAATCAGACTCTCCATGTTCCCAGCATTGAGTGTCTTTGACTAGGCAAGAAAACAAAGACACTTTGAGCAACTGAATCCCACGGTTCGGAAATCAGAGCTTTTCAAAGTCACTAGATTGACAGAGCTGAAATAATTAAGATACTCACAGTATTACAGCTGCTTAACACTTTCATTAGGAGTTTGATTGGAGGAGCTCTGGACAGTCTGGTTTCCTTCAGTCCTTTTGTTTGCCTGTTTGTTGAACAGGGAATGGACAAAGAGTCTTGTAAAACTGCACCCTTCTTGGCTTTCTCCTCTGCAAGCCAATCTAGCGTGTATGATCCTGAACTAGCAAGATCTCCCACACAAGGAAACTATAAAGCCTTTCTCCGGAAGGACATTCAGCCCTGCTGCCCTATCTGCCTCCTGATTCAAACAAAATAAAAGCAGCTTTCCATTTTTAATCCATGCAAAAAGTGAGCAAGTGGTGACAGCTATGTATGGTCATTAATCTGCACGCCCGAGGCTGAGCAACTCCGTCAGCTCTGCCCATGAGCTATGCTTAGTGGGTGCACCTCTCCCCCATGTACTTTTTTGTACATCTCTGTGCAGCTGCATCTGAAGCTCTCCACTGATTTCAACCATGATGCCACAGATTTTTTCAAAGGCAGTACTTACCCAAGAAGTGAATCCAGCCAGAGCTCCTTCACCTCCTGTGAACTGCAGAGGAAAGGAGAAACAGCATGACTCCCCACTGCTACTAATCCTTTGGACAGAGGCAGCGACTAAACAGTGCATACTGCGTGTGCTGCCTTATATATGCAGAAGGGGCAGGTGGAAATTCACAGGCAGGAAGAAGCATCATGGGGCAGGACCGAGACACTACCAAATTTCTGGCTTCCTCTTTCCTTTTAGAGGAGATGCTTTTCTGGGTTTTCCCCCCCTTAAAGAAAAAAAAAGAAACTCTGGTAGCTGTTATGGATGGAAAAGATGAGACACTTGCCAGGTAAAGGTTCCAGCTATCATCACCAGCATGAGGTGAGATGTGCAGAGGGGGCTGCAGTGTGGGCAGCTTCTCTTTACCATTAAAGGGCAGTGGGTACAGTCTGTCCTTTGCTCAGAGACATTAGATTTGGCAGTTCTAAAATGCACTGCCAGATCAAGCTACACTAAGAGCAGTGAAAACAACGGGGCGATGGAATAGACAAGATTCAGAGAAATGTTTCTTTATAATTTTTTTTAAAGCTAGTTGCAACAGTGTACTGTCTACAAGCAGATGTAGACACACATTTTGTCAGTACTAAGTAGTTCTTGAGAATCTAGTTACTGGACATTTATAGACAAAGTGGTGTTATGTAGTAATTTAGTAATGTATGATAATATGTAATTAAAAAGTCTTTTTTAAAATAAATCTCAGTAAGACATATTTGTGTGCACATATTAAAATTTAATTCAACCAAAGAGATTAAAAAAAATCCAGGAAAAAAAAAAATGGTACCTCTGCTTGTACCATTCTGTTGCTGACTGCCCCCCAACTTGAGCATATCAGGAATACAGCACTCGCTCTACCAGGCCATTATGAAAATTCATTAAGATTTGATGTTAAACATATGATATTATTTCTATTGATTTATTGACTGACGTAAATTACAGCCCTGTTCTGGGTGCCAGTCTACTGATCTTATGAAAAGGAGGAGTTAAGGCTGAGAGTCAAGATTGGGAATTCTTCAGTAGTAGATTTAGGTGGAAAGCACGCTTGTGAAACTGTGGCCTTTCTGCTGCTTCCCTCGTGGATGCTCTGTTTCACGTGTGCAGAGGATGAGGCTGTCTTAGCACAGCTCTTTGCAGATGCACGTAATGGCTACATCTGCTGCTGAATTCACCCTCAAAGCCTCTTTGTGTAGCCACATCAGACCCAGACAGTGTACTACTGACCCTGTTTCATGCAGAACGGAAAAGGAACAGAGGGGTGATCTCGGTTTGATTCTGGCAGAAATCCAAAGCACAAAATTCACTTTTGGTTGGATAGAGATGTGTCCAGAAGAACAAATGGAGACTTGCTCTGTTTTTGTGGGAGGAGTTGCTGTAGGTCACCTTTTAAGTCCTCCTGAGGCCCATCATTTCCATGCTATTGTAGTGGCACTGGTCTGGTGACTTGTTTAGGGCTGAAACTTACAGCAATATCAATCAACTAGTCTGCAGCCCTGTGCATTTACCACTGATTTTTTACTCACTGCTCTAGCTGATTTTTTGTTAATTATCAGTCCCATGACATTTGTAATTTCTCAACTAAATTCCATGGGCTGCTGCACATGCTTGCAGAAATATTGTCATCCTACGTCACTTTCTCCTGAGAATTTCTTTTAAGGATCCTTGGCAGCTGCAGCATCACTGCTGATAGTTTCAGTGGGATTCCTCAACAAGATCTATTTTTCATTACATTTGTTAAATGTATATCCAAACATACCTGTCTGTTAAGCATCTTGGAGGGGTCCTATGCAGTTCAATTCTGCTTTCCCCTCACTTCCAGCACTCTGCACAGACAAATACGTCTGAGCTCAGTCTGTTCCATGATTAAGACAGGGTTGATCTGGAAAACGTGTGACTTGTGAGTTTAATGGGTGGTGCTTAGCCAGGCCAGAAGCTCAGATTACAGTTCTGGCACCAGCTGTACACAGGGCGCTGGGCTTTGTGTTTCCCAGGGGACAATACGGTAATGGGTGATGTATTGGTAGCACATCACCAGGCTGTCCACTGGCACACACTGCTGTATCTCTATCAATTAGTTCTTATCCATTAACAGTTGTGGGGATACAATGGCTGTTGTATGTGGAAGGTGTGTGTATAGGGCTGCCCATATGAAAAACAATTTGATTTTTTTACCCTCCTTATATAATTCTTTATTTAATAGCTCTTTTATGGTGTGTGTCACAAACACTTAAGTCATGCCAAAATTACTTTAGAGCAGCCTATTTTATTACAAATAAGCAGGGATCCTAAAATGCTATGGTTTGGCAGAGTAATTGTATGGCAACACAGAGGGAATCTTGGCAGTTTTTGTGAAAAGCAGTAAGGAAGCACATGCTGATTCCTGCCAAGCACCACAGAGCTGTGTGCAAGCTTCCAAGGTCAGAAGAGCTGCTCTCACACCTACTTGCCAGAGCAGCTTCACAGCTTCCCCATCAGCGTGGAAAAGGCAACACGGGTGTAGGCCCCAAAGCCAGTCTCCACCCTGAATATTAACAGAAAAGGCCTGTCATATGAGATGTTTACAAGTTAAGTTCCCTTATATGAACAACTTCTCTCCCTGAGGAGGCTGATTCCATCTCTACCTCCCAGTCCTGCTTTGCAGACTTGAAACTTTTGCTGTGGTCCACTCTTCCCTCAGTTTGGTACAGATCTTACAGCACGATGCATCAGAGCAATGTGTTTGTTGTACCAGAGCCACTGCCCTGGGGCAAGGAGAACAGATGGCAGGTGCCTGGGGTGCACCTGGAGTTGTTTGCAGTCAATGTGTTTCTCCCAGTCAATCCCTGACTAAGTGAATGCACTGTCCCTCAAAAACACTGGATGTTTACACAAAGATCAAGGCTTGGGAGAGGCAGTGGATTTGCAAGGGTTTTGTAGGACTAGCCTGTGTAGAAGCTCTTCCCCTGCTGTGCACCAGGATGCTTCCCTCAGTTCTCCTGAGGTGTTCTACATTCACTGGAAAGAAAGCAGGAGCAGGGAGATCCTGCAGAGCAGACAAGCCTGGGTGGATCCAGCCCTCTTAAGGACTGTATTCACCCCTTGAGATGTGAACCATTTTCCAGGACAACAGTTTGATACCTCTGCTTCCACTGGCTGATTCCAGCCAGCCCCTTTCTCTCCCCAGACCATGGCTGCTTTTGTGGTCCACTCCCAAGCCCTCTGCCCAGGCCAGTGTTTGGAGGGAGGCTTATATAGCACTTGCTGCAAACATGGACCAATGGTGATTTTTGGTGATTTTCCCCTTTGTGTGAGCACCAGTCAAGCTAGGCATTCTCTCCTCTTTTCTTCTCTTACACTGTGGCAATGTGAGGAACTTTAGACAGTAGCAATGAAAGAGCAACACCGATTGGCATGAGAAAGAAGTCAGGAGTTTACAGTGAAAAAAGAAATAAAGAATAAATCTGCTGTGACTGGAGACTGTTTCCTTCTCTCCTTATCAAACCACAAATGGGAAAACTCCAGCCACAGCTCACTGTTGTTTATTTCTCTTACTTTTGCAAATGTTTGACAGCATGGCTTTTAGGAAGGAGGGACTGTGTGAATGAATCCTGAAAGTCGCCTTTGCCCTGTTATCATACCAGCAAGGAGGCAGCAGGAGCATAGCTGTGAGAAGGGTACGGTGGAATGAGCCTGGAGCAGAGATCCTTTCAAGCCCATATAGAGCAGTGCCTCAGGCCTTCATCAGTGCCTCTCCATGTGGAAAAGGGATTGAATTCCCGTTTTGTCTTCACTGCCACAGCTGCAGTCTCCCCAGGGAACAATGGGAACATTTACCAAAATAAGGAAAGCAGTTGTGCCAAACCCAGAAAGCTGTTGGGTTGGTTGTTTTTTGGAAGGGAAAGCTCTGTACAAGCTGTCCACGAGCTCAAAGAACAAGGTGGCAACTGCGTTCCTGGAAAGAGGCCACATTTATAGATGCCTTCTGAAGGCAGCTCTGATTTCGTACTATTCTCCAGAGTCTGTGGGATGCATAGACATGGTTCAGGGTTTGATCACAGAAAAGAGGTCAGACAGACCTTTGATCAGATCAGTCTCTGCTTCCTACCTGTAACAATTCAGAGCAGAAACCATCAACCCAGCCGGTGCTGAACTCCTACAGGTTTAGTCAGGTAGTCTGGGCTCATGCTAAACCTGCCTTTGGAAAGTGAAACACACTGTCAGTTTTTCCCAGCTCTGTTCAGCTGATTTCTATTCCAAATTAGATATCAAATTTAGATTGCAGTGTGGGTTAGATCACACCACCCTTCTATACACTGTGCTACTACTGCATGGGAAAATCAAAAATAACTCTATAAATACAGCACAGGGTGTATTCTATGCCCTTCCCATGACACCATTTTGGTTGCATTTGCAGTATGGTTTGTTTATTCTTTCATGGGTGCTTCCCCCAAGACTAAGTTGGCAGCTCTAAAGGTTTTTACTCATCCTCAGGTGACTGGATCCACTGGATGCTTTTTCAATTATGGAGGGCAGGTGCATATGGGCCATTTTTCCAAAGGGTCTGTGCTGCTGTTTGGCTCTTCTGCATTCAGCTTGCTATTGTATCTCTGTGGCACTTGGGAATTACTCATTCCTTAGGTTCCCTGAGGTGACTAGCCCAAAGGAATCAGGGAATTGAAGTTGCCTGTTGTTTCTGACTGAGCAGATGCAGAGCTAAACTTTTGCTTACTTACACGAAAATAGTAGAGAGCATGTATAATTCAGTCTGAAATCTATTCTTTTCAAAATCTCTGGTTGAAGGTACTCAAACAATATTGAAAAGTGATATGCTTACTTTTTTTTTGTTTCTCCAGCAGGTTTTTCACCTAATTTGCTTCTTTATGCTCTTCATTTGCAAATCAGAAAATGAGATAGGACTTTTTGCCAAGCTCATTTGCCATCAGGGACCAATTATGCTTCCTACCAAATACAGAGCAGTGGAAATCTTGATTTTACTTTTCAGGATTAACACTAATATTTTCTTTTAGATT